AGTATATGAACTTGGGGCACAGGGCTAGACGTGAAATGCTATGGTTTGAAAGTGTCCTCCAAAACTCATGTGAATTCCAATGCAAGAGGGTCGAAAAGAGATTCCATTAAGAGGCTCTGCCCTTATGAACAGATGAATAATGCTGCCACAGTGGGTTTGCCATTTTTAAGAGTTCCTTTGTTATAAAAGCAGGCTTGGCAGTCTCTTGGTCTTTCATTTATACCATGCAAGACAGTCCTTGCCAGACGCTAGATGCTAGCACCTTAATATTTAACTTCTTGGTCCTCCAGAGCTCTGAGAGATTTACAAATTCTTCAGTCTGGCATTCTGTTATAGCAACACAAAACAGATTAAAGCAATCTAATATCACTCATCTCACACAGTGTCAGGTAATAGCTATTTTTCATGAAAATACACTGTTAACAAATACTTTTACTTTTTTTTTGAGACAGGATCTCATGTATCCTTGGCTGGCTGTAGACTTGAGAATAACCTTGAACTCCTGATCCTCTTGCCTCCATCTGAAGAGTGCTGAGATTACAAGCATGAGCTACCATGCCCAATGTATGCACTGCTAGGACTGAACCAGGCTTCACACATGCTAGACACTCTGCTGAGATCTACATCCCCAGCCCTCATTTTATTTCTAAATGAATAAACATTTTAAAATTTTGTTTTAATTTGTAATACAGTATATGTCAATAGATGCAACCAACTAAAAACAAAGAGGCCTCAATACTTTAAAAAGCATGGAGAATCTGAGTAAAAAAAAAAAGCATAACCCATTTATAACTGCAGTTATAAATGCAGTCTGTAGCTTAACTACGATTCATTTCCCAATTTGATCACGAAACTGTTTATTAAAGACTCGTATAGCAACTAAGCTGTTTTAGCTTTGTTACTGAATTTTCTCTCACACACACACTCAAATTTCTAAGAACCCCACCCCCAATTTCAAGACGAACATGGAGAATAAATTTCTACATTATCCAAGTTTCTGTACTTGCTGCAGGCTTCACACTCCACACCCTCTGCTTGCTGCAAGCTTTACACTCCACGCCCTCTGCTTGCTGCAAGCTTCACACTCCATGCCCTCTACTTGCTGTGGGCTTCATGATTTCACTCTCAAGCGCTAAAACAAAGACCTCTTTGGAAAATGTAAAATCTTTTGCTTATAGAATCTTAATCTCCACATTTGCAGAGGCTTTATATAGAAGCAGGAAACTGGAGCAGGCCAGCATGTGGGACACATTATCCCAGGTGAAAATGGTTCTTGAGACTGGACTATCAGATGTGATTAATAATAAAATATAAGGAATACAATAATTCAGGATTTGGAATCCTTACTCAATGAAACGAATGTTGCAGATTGAAGAAACACCATTTGGATTTTTTATATTGTTTATTAAATATAGGTATATGTTAATTTATCTTCTTTAGTTCCTCTAAAACATTCTTACTAAAAAATAAAAATTTGTGAGCAGCTTCCAAAATAAGTGTTTAGCAAACAATACACAGTTGAAGAAATGTTTCTTGCTCTGTCAAATACAAGTTATCTAATACCATCCAGAGCACAGATTCTTCTATGTAACCATAATGCAAGGATAAGAGATAGAGAGTGGTGATCAGTCCCATGTGTTATTACATTCTAACATTTTGTGAGTCCAGGAGGCTCATTCTTTAGCACAGGAGAGAATAGTGACTACACGCAGTAAGACCTAAGATTCCTTGGCTGTAAATCATGAATTGTATCTACTTAAAGGTGATTAAATGAGATGCTATAATGTAGTCTTGGTCCTTAGAAACACATTGACAGAGACACTCCAAGGTAGTAAGTAGAATGCAAAAAAATTGTGTACGTGTTCCAGTAACTGGTGTGTAAATTCAGTAGTATAAAGCAACTGTGCTACTACAGACATCAATTTCATGGGTCAACAATTTGAAGAGTTCACAGGGAGTTCGGGCTTGGCTCTTAAGATTGCACTGAGAAATTGGGGACTAGTTATGTGAAGGCTCAACAGCTTGACACACAAGTGCATGTTCTCAGATTCAGGCAGTTAGTGCTAGCTGTTAACAGACATCATCTGGGACTATCAACCCAAGGACCTACATGTAGTGTTTTCACCTGGCCTCAGACTCCACACACTAACTCCTTGGGTCCTCAGACTTCTGTATGGTGGAGTTCAAGGAAGCCAAGTCAAAGCTGAGTTGCTTTTCATGACTATTGTTGGGAACCAGAAGCATCACTTAATTTTATTAATTTTATTAATTATAAGAGTAACCAGATCCAGCCTATCAAAAGAAAAAGAAACAGACCTACCTCTCTAGCAGAGAAGTCAAAGAATGAGAGAGCAATCTTGAGGTTGCTACGAGATTAAATACCTTTGTCTGTACTGTCCTGAAAAGCAATGAAAATCAGACAATGGAAATGCTGCCCTAAGAAAGTCCCAAGTGTTAGGAGGTGCTTATTCCCTGCTTTCCCCAAACCCAGTTCTGCAGTTTAGCCACCTCAGCTTGAGAACAATCAAGTGGGAAGAAACAGGTACTGCCAATTTGTCCTAGTTTGTTTCTCCATTGCTGTGACAAAACACCCTGACCAATACCAGCTTGGGGAGGAAAGGGTTTATTTGGCATACATCTCCTGGGTCACAGTTCATCAGGGAGCCCAAGGGCAGGAACTCAGGGCAGGAACCTGGAGGCAGAAGCTTGATCCCAGGCCATGGAGTAATTCTGCTTACTGGCTGCCTCCCCGGTCAGCCTGCTTTCTAATGCAACACAGGCCCACCTGCCCAGGGGTGGCACCACCCACAGTGGGCTGGGCCCTCCCACATCAGTCAACAATCAAGAAGGTGCCCCATGGACATGGCCACAGGCCAGTCCAATGAAAGCAATTCCCCACTTAAGGCACCCTCAACCCAGGTGTGTCAAGTTGACACTAAAGCTATCCAGCACACAATTGTATCGTAAACAAATTTGCATTGTGTTAGCAATACTGTAGGGCTTTCCTATCAGTGCAAGCTAGGAAGTGATGGAAACGTCTCAGCTTTGCTTCACTATTAGCACAGCTTCACTTTCCCCAGATTAACAGCAATCCGGACAACCATGGTTAGCAGCACTCCACTCCACGATCCTGTGGAGATCCACAGTTCCTTCCGGGTTGTTGTTCTGCCATCCCCTGAGTCATTGTCCCTATCTGTACGGATGACGATGGTATTTTAAGTTTATGGGCAAAAAGAGGCAGAACATAGCAAGTTAGCTTGTCTAGGGTTAATCTGCCATAAACTGAACTTGCAGTCTCTGTACACACCACTGGCCCACATTTAGTCACACGATCACAACTGCTGATGGGGAGGGAGACTGGGGAAAACAGGAACAGGCTAGAGTATAGTCTGTCCCACAACTGACCAGTACATTATCACTTTAATACTCAAATGTTAACAAGCTAATTAAATCTAAATCTGCACCAATTTTAGTATCAAAATAATGTACCAATTTCAATTGAGTCTGAAATAAATGACATATTCTTCAAAGTATGTACACAGCTCTCTAAATCTGCATTTCATTTGTCTACTGATGTGCACAACACAGCTCTTACTTGGACTCCTACATATAAATTATGTCAAAGGATTAGAAATGATAATAAAGGTAGAGGAAAAGAGATAAACAATTAAGAACCCACAAACAGCTGGGCATGGTGGTGCACGTCTTTAATCCCAGCACTTGGAAGGCAGAGCCAGGCAGATCTCTGTGACTTCAAGGCCAGCCTGGTCTACATAGTGAGTTCCAGGAAGGGAGACCCTGACTCAAAAAGACCAAAAAAAAGAATCCACAAATAGCCAAATATCCGTCAAATATCTGTTTTTACATTCTAAGTATGGAAAGGTGTTCTCTTTCATGCAGTAATACAGATTTTTATGAGTATTTCTAGATTTAGGGTTTTTTTCACAGTGGCTACAAATTTAAGAGTTGCGTATACTTTTACTGCTCTACCTTCTCTGAGGGGATGATGCAGAAGACACAGCACAAATGTGTGACAACATTAAGAACACTGAGCAAGCTGGGCATTGGTAATGCACGCGTTTCCCCGGCACTCAGGAGGCAGGGGCAAGTGGATCTCTGGGAGAGCGAGGCCAGCCTGGTCTACTTAGCAAGTTCCAGGCCAACTGAGGCTACAGAGACCCTGTCTGAAAAAACTAAACAAGCACTAAGCAGGATCTCAGGCTTCTGTCTGATATCTCCTTTAAAAAGTTACTGAAATTCCGAGTCTATGAAATAGCAACACTACTACACCTTTCAATGGGGATTCATAAAATGTGTTCACACTCAGTACAAAAGAAATTTATGATGCACAAGGCAGAAAGAACACATCAGCAAGGTGGCTGATTGCTTTTACTGCCCAACCCCAGAACCATCAGCCAGGCCAGCAGGGGCTCCTGCAACTTGTGTGGAGAAGAGCAAGCTATGTTGAGAAGCTCTTCAGAGATTTAACTGTGAGGTAATTTTTTAAAAGTAATTATCTAAACACTTAGCCTTAATTTTCCTCCCAACTACTCCTGTAAAGGAGGTCCGAAAAACTGTGTCTGAGTGCTGGCACTGTCATTCTTCTCCCTTATTTAGAAAACAAAACAATGACAAAAAACCTTCAGAGCAAGCCATTAACATGCTCTCTCCTTCTGTCTGCATTTCATCAAAGTGCCCAGGGAGATGGACCACTTCCTAAGCCAAACATGTCAATGAGTGACATTCAGTTTTGCTCCTGCATAAGCCTCAAAGCCCCTGACACAAGTCCCAGTGACATGCTATGACAAGTCATTCTGAAATTTAAACTAATTTTAGAAGAGACAAATCATTTATGTTCCCTACATTATGCTGACAGCCAGAAAGCATTTGAAAGCTGAGGCAATAAAGCAACCGTCAAGCAGTAACGTAGGTGGAGTCCAACAAACCTGTCGCCACTTAAAAGCTGTAAACACTACTCAAAAATGACATCTGAAAACCAGTATGATCTGAGTGTATTTTATTAGATCAGAACAAATGAAGTAGCAGCAAAGATCTATCCCACAGACTGGCTTCCACTGGTCCTCAAAAAAGGAAAAGTCCAGCAACGGATATACCTATCAATCTCACCCTCTAGAACCTCACTTGGGCCCTAAAATGCATCTGTTTGGTGGCATTGTTCTTCATCCCTGTCTTCAGCATCCATTTCGACTTCATCCTTTGGACATACTGCATGTCCCGCTCCCGCACAAGAGCTGCTCCTGTGATTGGAAGGAGGGTAAGAAATGAGGCAAAAGTCTTTTATTTGTAGTCAGAGAGAGCCAAATTTTTGTAGAGAATTTACAAGTTAGTTTGTGGTAAGTGGGTCTTTATACTTAAAGAGAGATGCTAACTTGGGAGTACTAAGCAATGGACCTCGGGGGGTTATGTGCACCCCAGAGTTGCATACCAGAACTTTTAAGCACAGAGGTGTTTCCAGTGGTTTTTAGGCACCCGAGCTTTGCAGGCCAGGCCAACAGAAAGGCAATGAGGAAGAGCAAGGAAGACCGGCTTTATACAGCACACACCTAAGAGGTAGCACACTCATGAGGTTTGAAAGCTTAGTAATTTCAACTGTCAGCTTCACTCATCTGAATCTATTTCCAAGGAAAAAACTGCCAAAAAGGACTGACAACCAGCCTGTACTATGGGTAAACACTGTATCACACATGCATTACAACAGTCAACCTTCTAACGGCTAAGGTAGGTCCTACTAATTATTTCCATTGTATAAATGAGCAAAGAGAAGCTTAGATTTGCTAATGTTCATCACATCAGAGTCTATGATAACATGAGATCACACATGGCATGCTAGACTCCACCTCTCAAGCTACAACCCACAATGATACTATTTAATTTCTGTGTTGCCTCCAGGGTAGTTTCAGTTTGTGATGATTACTAATTCTTTTACTATTATCTTCTGAAAATGTTCAGGATGTGCATTAAGTTACTGGGCCAGGAACATTAAGTTTTTAAGTCACAAAGCCTTTAGCTTATTGCCATAAAGTATTAAGAAGTAATGGAAGCCCCAGAGCAAAGACTTCGGGCTTACCCTGGAGAGGATCACTAAGGACATCACCCATGCCTCCTTGAGAAGTAAGTATGCGATCTCGGGCTGGTCCGTAGGTATGAGCATCAACATACCTGTGCTGCCAGTCCACCCTAGGGCTCGGTACTGCCGAAGTACCCTGCCCACAGCCTTCTGATTTCTAGCAACTGCCACAGCTCTTTGTATGCCAAATCGTTGTTTGTAGTATCTCATCAAGGAACGATGACCCACTCTGGCACCTATTTTTTGAAACAACAATATTTAAACACTTAATTGGACAGTTCCTTAAAGAAAGAACTATAAAGCAAAGGATTCCCAAATTAGACCTTTAATGGTACCTTAAGAAATCTAACAGGAAAATAGATGGATCCAGGACAGTGTTTTACCTACTAAAGAAAGAACAGTACTGAGAAAATAAATAATTAAAGGCTAAAAATCCCTAACAGAAAGATTAATCAGAGACTAGCTCTGATGATGGACCACATTCCACACTTGGGGGCCGATCAGAAATGAAACTATCTTCCCTTTTGCTAAATTTTCTATTCCAGTGCTTCTCCAACAGCAGTGATTTTTTTTTTTTTTTTAACCCCACAGGGACATGTGGCACTTGCTGTGAATTTTTCTGATTGTTTTAGTGGCGTGCTCCTGGCATCTAGTGGCTGGAGGACAGAGATGCTACTGAACGTCTTAAAGCACACCCGGCAGACCACCAACCACAGTGTTATCTAGGCCAAACTGCCAGAAGTACTGAAGCCGAGACCCCCGCCCCAGTGATGGAAACTAACTGATGTACTTTAAAAAGATTATGCTAAATTCTTTCTATAGACTTCGCTTATTTAGAAAAATCCAGCGAAACAGTGAGTCATCAAGCTTTGAGAAACAATCCTTAATTTTAATTTCTAATGTATTTTGATGTCATTATAATATATAGTTGTTATATCATCTCACAGATCCATCAACTGCATCACAACACTCAGAAGAAAGAGGAAAGGGTCAGTGGGATGACTCTGTGGGTGCAAGAGCATGCAAGGCAAGCCTGCTGACCTGAGTTCAATTCCCAGAAACTACATAAAGGTGGATAGAGAGATCTGATCCAACAGAGCTGTTGGCTGACCTTCACACATGCCATGGCACAAGTACACAAGAGCACACACATGCATGTACACACACACACACACACACACACACACACACACCACACAATAACAATCCATTTTTTAAAAAAGAATAAAGACCACACATAAGACAAGTACGAGATAAAGTTATTGACCATACAAAGTTAGGAACTTCTATAACTAGAGTTATAAAAACCTGAGGTGGTAAAGATATTTATTAGAGGAACAATTTGAAGTTCCTATTTAAGGGTGAGCCACATCTGATATGACAGAGGGGTAACAAACTTCAGCTCCAGGTCCAAATCTATTCAACCAGTCTGTCAGCTTTACTGAACACAGCCATACTCACCTATATAGGAATTCTCTCCAGCTGTTTATGTGCTAACAGAGCAGACCCACACAGTTGCTACAGAGACAGAATGCACACAAAGCCTAAATTATTGCTCCCTAGCCCTTTACAGGAAAATGTCCCAATCCCCATGTACTGGCGTCAGAGCAGATGAAACTAAAAGAGGCAGGCTTCAGAGATGGCACTCTCTAGGCTCCATCACAGCAATGGCTTTCAAAAGGTGCTCCTTCAATACTACCACAGGGAAAACAAGGCAGCCCCACACAAGAGCATCAGCATCACCTGTGGGCTTATGAATAAAATGAGCTGTACTTTTCAAATATATTAATTAGGATATAAGCAATCAAATGCCTTTCTAGACAAACATAAATACATAAGATAGTTAACAAATACACAAGGCGTGAAGCCACTCCAACTGAAAATGAATAAAAGAAATATGGCTTGGTAAAACCCTACAAAAGTTTTAGGCTTACATAAATAAAACCATTTACTTCAGAACTCTTTCTGGAAAAAAAAAAAAAAAAACACAAGATACTATGTATGCTGTAGAAGGCTGTATTTGCTAGGAGTCACATCTTTAATTGACATGCAAAGAAAATGCTGTCAGTTCATTTTTCATCTCTGTAACTGGCGTAACGCCTAGAAAGTATTTCCTTGCTACCTAGGTGTGATGTTCTGTGATCATACTCAAGTGAAGACAAATAGAGCCTTCAAATTCAAGCCATAGTCTTTAGATGCCAGTATAAGTGGAGAAATCTGTTTTCCTGAATTGTAATGTGTGGTAGCTACATTAATAAGCTTTCAAATCCATTCTTCCTTTAGTTGCTTTTATGGTGAGACCTTGTTCTGCTCCTATGCACAGATTTTGTAATCACTCACAAAAATAGGGTCTGTGAACATCTCTGTGAGATGAATTGATGGAAAAAGACCTGTCTTTAAATCCAGGTCCCATAGCTAATTCCAGCAATATTCACTGGGATTTCCACTTTGCAATGTCAGGTCAAATACGTTCCAGATTTGCAAGGATGATTAGCCCTAAATCAGTAAATGGTAATATTGGTAATTGGGTTACGTACAAATTCGTAAATCATTATGTATATTTGTAAGCAACATTTGGAACTAAACCTTAGTTTCTGAGACTCACAGAAGACAAGGGAAAGCAGTGTTTCACACTATCTTGCTGTGTCAATGACAGTGAGAACCTGGCATCAGAACCAAGTCGGAAGTGATAAAAACAGCTCGCCGGAAGGCCTCAGGAAGGACAGATTCTCTTTAAAACATAGTGTGACTGCCCAATAACACATTAGTTCTGTAACATGCTAAAGCACACAACCTGTCCATGTAGCTTTCATCATATAATGCTTATGATGTCATGCCACTGATACTAGAGACCAGAAAAAGAGAACCCCAACTCTAATTTCCTAAGAAGATTAATTATGTATTTCTCATAAATACAACAGCAGCTTCATCTGGCCAGCCAGCAGCTACATCAATAAGTCTTTCACACCAACTTCCTCCACATGAACTGAGGAGTAATGAAGGAAATGCAAGGAAACTAAGCAAACCACAATCTTAGAGAAATGCTCCTGGCGCCCTCTCCTGGATGTTCTTGTTACTGTCTTTGGAATCACCTAGTTGCTAATTTTACTAAAACAATCTGAGCATCTACATTTAAGGTATCACAGCTGATCACACATGTTGCTACTGCATTTCAACTCAATGTTTGTTCAGAGCTCTTCTATTTTCCAAAACCCAATGCAGTTCTACGTCTCTGAAAGCTTCAGCTCACCCTTTATACTACAGATACAGACCTTCCCTTTAAAAGTCATTTCTGCCCTCAGTCAACGAACTTAGCCCTTTTTCGTGTCTGAGATGAAAGATGTTATTAGTTACTTTCCTGTTGATGTGATAAAATACCACAACCAAAAGCAGCTTATGGAAGAAAGAGTTTATTCTGGCTTTCAGTTGCAGAGGGAGAGTCCACAGGAGCAACGGAGGCAAGGCAGCAGGCAGCCTATGCAGAAAGCTGAGAGCTCATCTCCAACCACATGCAGAAAGAACAGAGCAAGCTGTACGTGGAGCAAGGCTGCACACTCTCAAAGCACACCCCTCATGACATACTTCCTCCTGTAGGACTCCTGATCTAAACGCCCCATGACCTCCGCAAACAGTGTCACTAACTGGGGACTAAGTTCAAATATACGAGCATAAGGAGGCCATTTCTTATTCAAACCATCACAAAAGAGAAAGGGCAGGCTTTGTCTCAAAAGTAATGTGAGATGGAGAGGAGGAATAACTTCTACTGTTTTTAGCACAGCATGGTAAGTATGGCTGAGGACAATTCTTTCCAAAATAGCTAATAGGGAGAATATTAATGTTCCCAGTACTTTAAAAAATAGATATGAGGTGATAAATATGCTAGTCATCTTGGTTGAATCACTCTACACTGTATGCACGTATTTAAATGCACACTGTAGTCCATAAGCAGGTGAAATCACTATGCAGCCACTTTAAAATCTATGTGTATTTTAAATGTAATGGGGAAGACAGGCAAGTGAGACAATCATAAGGCAGTGAGTATCAGACAAACACGCAAGTGTTCTAGAAGCAGAGTACTTCCATCATGCAGCAAACTGAAAGAAGAGGGGTTCAAGGAGACTCTCCTGAGGAGATCCAAGAGGGGTCTTAAAACAGGAGGGAATCACAGCTGTGCAGTAATTTCCCCCCAGATAAACCTGTCATCTTGAGTGAAGGTCATTAAGACACAGAATGTTCTAAGGCGAGGCAAAGCTCAGGAAGTAAACAACTTAAAGCTTCAGGGAAGCCTTCAAAACTGACCAGATTCACTAGGCCTCTCCCCTGGCATCCATAAACTGTAAAGATGCTGAGAGACACTCTCAGACAAGGTGAGATACTAGGAGAGGCTCAGACCAGAGGAGCTTCCTGGAAGAAGCAGAGCTGCCTGGAAAAGACTCCAACCTGCTGAGCTGCCCTGTCGGATGTACAGGAGCTCCAAGTTTCCAGATTCCATGAGCCAGCAGCCATATGGGGTGTACTTAATGATACAGCAGTCTTTGAGTCATTTCTGCTCCTTTAAGTAAGCCAAATAAAACTCATGGGTTCAGCAAGTTGGACTTTGATGGTATTTTTACTGTGTGGTCTGTCATTGACTCCCTACCTTGGATGAGCAGACATTTGTTCAGCACCACCCCCTCAACACCCCCAAATAGTGTCACACAATGAACGACCATGCATACAAGACACAGAGGAGGAGTCTATGAGTATGTAAGTAAGCACATATCATTGACCAGAAGCTGGAGAAACTCAGATGCCCTGAAGGCAATGGTTCCCGATGCCCAAATATATAGAGTAAAGAAAACATACCCATGTTTTGGAAAGAATGTCCCTGGTGCTTGTATGGAAACCAGGTAAAAGATGACCAGACAGGAAACAGACACAGACAATGATGACATAGACAAACGCATAAAGAGAAAAAAATATTCAAAAGACATTTCGGAGTTGCTCGATCATCAGGATGGGAAAATGAATGAAGTTCTTGGTGGCGCATGCCTTTAATCCCAGCACTCAGGAGGCAGAGGCAGAGGCAGGCAGATCTCTGTGAGTTCAAGGCCAGCCTGGTCTACATAGTGAGTTCCAGGACAGCTGGGGCTACAGGGAGACCCTGTCTTAAAAAGACCAAAAACAAACAAACAAACAAAAACAAAGAACCTATTTGGGGCTTTGACAAACCTTAGAATATTCAATGACCCTAGGAAAATACATTCTCTACATAGTTAAGGATTCCTTACCAAGTTTCAAAACTGTCAAGTCCAGATGAAAGTCAGAGGCCATGTTTTTTAAATAGGATAAGCCTATCGTTACTAATAGGTTTATAATATAATGTAGTAAAGTAGATGCAAAAGGAAGTCAACATTAGTTCCTACATGTCAAGCACTGTTTTGTAAGGGTTATCTTGCTCAACTAACTTAAGGTTGGTTGTTATTTTACTAGTTAAGAAGTGGAAGTTACCAAGACAGGGAGCTAAATCCTCTTACAAACATCTAGATACCCTTTGGTTATCTGCAAGACATTGGGTTCCAGTACTCCCTGCCTCAGACACTAAAAACCAAGGCTACTCAAGTCCCTTATACAAATGGTACAGTACTTACATAGAGCCTACACACACTCTCCTACATACTACATCACTTGTAGACTGCTTTTAATACCAACACAATGTAAATGCTTAATAAACAAGGGCTATGCTATGCTGTTTCAGGGATACCAAGAAGACTAGGACAGAGAAATGCATTTTTCCCTAATACCTTCAACTTTCAGTTGGCTAACTCTGTAGATACAGAAACCATGAGTACAGTACAGAGGACTGACTGTATTTTTCATTCTATAAAAACTGGAAGTGTTTAGTCCCGGTGGCACATGCCTTTAATCCCAACACTTGGGAGGCAGAGACAGGCAGATGTCTGAGTTCAAGGCTAGCCTGGTCTACACAGTGAGTTAGTTCCAGGCCAGCTGGAGCTAAAGGGAGACCCTTTCTCAAAAACCAAAAAACAAACAAAAAAACTGGAAGTGTTTTTTGTGCATATATTTATGCTTTTACCACTATGTATTATGTGGGCTACAATACAGTCCATATAACTTATCACACAGGAAAGCTTTATCTTCAAGACATTTTTTCTGCTCTATGGGTTAGAAAGTTATTATTCTGAGTTAATGACAGCTGCCAGTACCTAGGCAGTGATGTGTTTTACTGCTTAGGTAGAGCAAAATAGAAAAGCAGTACTTTCCAGATAGAACGCCTCATCGGACATCTTCACTGGCAGAGAGCCACTCCTGCTCCACTATTCCCATGAATCCCCTATGCAGTGTAGGAAAGTGAGAGAGAGGTTTGGCATGAGAGCCTACCACTCACTTTCTTAAAGCTTCACGTTAGATGAAGAGAAAAGAAGCGAATTCACAGGCCTCTGTGTAAAGTCTGAATGTGCTATGTACTCGGTAAACACCAGGCATTTCTTAGACTCCCACTACAATTTCGACATTCACTTCCCTTTCACTTTACAGCTCCCCCCATGCCACCAGCTAATCGCCATACTTCTTTCTTCCCAAGAAGAAAAAAAACAACAGGGTTCGTGACTGTTCTTCATTTTCTCATTCCTGGGATAAATTCCTGCCGTTATTCCTATTTCCTCGGAGAGAAGGCAGAATTCAACCTCCAGGCTTCTACAACAGACAGGCAAACCAAGCACTGTTATTCAACTATGTACACAGCATACTACTTGGAAGCCTGTTGTGTCTGAACAGGAGACGCTCCTGATACATTCATTTTGGGCCCATGGTTTGAATGAGAATGTCCTCATAGGCTCCAAATATTTGAATACTTGGCCCCAGTTGGAGGCACTGCTTGCAGAGGGTTCGGAAGTTCAGCCTTGCTGAAGGAGAGGCTGGGCTTTGAGAGTTCACAGCCTTACCTCATTTGCAATTTCACTCCCTCTGTTTCCTACGCCTGAAGAGGTGAGGGCTCAGCTGTCTGCTCCTTCCATGCCTTCCCTACCAGGATGGACTCATCACTCTGAACTGTAAGCCAAATAAACTCTTCATTCTTTAAGTTGCCTTGGTACTACAGTCCCCAGCTGAAGGAGCTAGAAATCTTAGGAGGCAGGACCTAATTGAAAGGCATGGGCACTGAAGCCGGGTCCTTGGAGGATATTTTACCCCTACTCCTCCTTGCCATACTCTCTGCTTCCTGTCTACCATGAGGTAAACAGCTCTCCTCCATGGTATGCTCCCACTGCCATGTTCTGCTGAAAGGCATGGGGATAAGTGACCATGGACTAAAATCTTCAGAAATCATGAACCATGAGGAAGACCCTTCTCCTCAGAGCTGTTTATGTATCTCAGTCACACTATGCAAAGGTAACTAACACAAAGCCTGAGCAATATGAGAACACAAGACGCAGAGGCATCAGTTCAAAGGAGGAAAAGTAAAGTCAAGATTAACAAGACAACTTAAAGGCTGGAGAGATCTCAGTTGGTAAAGTTTGGATTCCCCAGCACCCAAGTTAAAAGCCAAGCATGTTGGTGTACATCTGTAAACTCAGTACTAGAGAGGTGAATCCTTGGAGCTCCTTGCCCACGTAGTCTAGCTGAACTGTTGAGCTCCAGGTTGAGTGAATGACTGTCAAAAAATAAAATGGAGAACAACTAGAAAGACATGCAACATCAACCTCTGGCCTCCACACACACACACACACACACACACACATACCCACACACCAACATGTATACACATATATGAGAGAGAGAGAGAGAGAGAGAGAGAGAGAGAGACAGAAACAAAAAAAACACAATATACACATATATGAGAGAGAGAGAGAGAGAGAGAGAGAGAGAGAGAGAGAGAGAGACAGAAAGGAAAAATAGCCCACTATAAATGAAGCAGCCAACTTAGTGCTAAGTAATGACCTTCAGCATTTACATGTACTTGAAAACACAAAATATACTTTTAAGTTTCACATTGTCTCCCTCTGCATGGCAGGTAATTGATGGAGACATGCCTCTTCTACAATACACTGGCAGTAAGCTATTTGATTCTGACAAATGCTCTTACCAGAGGGCAGTATCAGCTCCATGGTTTCATCATCACATTCCAAGGTCCTGTCTGAGGACAAGTCCTCAGCCTCATCAGGATCCTCCCCCTCCTTGTAATCTGGATAGCTACTCCTATAACAGTGAAAGGGCATTAATAAACAGACAGCACAGACAGACAGGACTGTGTATGCAAACATGGCAAACCTACCAGCTACAGCCAGGAACTATTCAATGAGAGGTCTGGAGAGTAAAACAACGTGTTACCATATCTGTGACATATGTGAACAAACGACCCATAAGAGAATTTGTTTTCCTATTTAATTCTCTCTAACCACAACAAAACAGGTTCTGGAGCACTGCAGCCCAAAAGAATTCTGTGATGACAGAAAGACACATGTCTGTGTGCCTCACATATTAGCTTTAGATAAAGAGGTTTTCAAGTACTGAACTTTTAAAAATGCATGTAATGGGATTGAAGCAATGAATTGTTTTGATCTATTTAATTCATTTAGATCTATTTAGATCATTTAGATCTATTTAGATCATTTGATCTATTTAATTCATTTAGATCTATTTGTTTTGATCTATTTAATTCATTTCTAGAAAAATCTCTAGGTTCCAAGATATATTCAAAAATTTATATTTACATGTACAGAAAGAAAATAATTAGGGAGAGAAATGGCCCAGTGGATAAGGTGCTTGATGTACAAGCATGAGGACCTGAGTTTGATTCCCAGCACCCACATCAAAACAGGACATTGGCAGTGTACGCCTGCATTCAGCACTGGGAGAGTGAAGACAAGTGGATCTGTGGACCTCCTGGCCAATCAGTCTGGCCAAATGGGTGAGGCTCCAGATCCCAGGGAGAGACCTGTTTCAAAAAATTAGGTAGGGAATAAGGAACACACCCAACATCAACCTCTGGCCTACACATATATGCATGTGTGCACACATACAAGACATACAATAAACAAATGTACATTTTAAAAAGAAAATTGGAAAAATATACACTGACAGCATTAACAGAAAAATATTGACAACCCACTAGATAATAGATAAGACTAAATCAGACAACACAAAAAAATCTCCAAGTAATCCATACATAAAAGATTCTCAATTACAGTGATCATCATAAGATATACAAAGTATAATCACTATATATTCAAAAAATGGCTAAAAAGAAAAACTCTCCCTAACAGTGGCATAGAGAACCACTTTGGAAAATAATCTAACAGCACCTGAATGCTATTTGAATGTTCATGTATGTCTGTCCATGTCCTATGACCCAACTCCTAAGTGTGTGTGTGTGTGTGTGTGTGTGTGTGTGTGTGTCCATTTCCTATGGCCCAACTCTTAAACACATACATAGCAGGTAAAATATGTGCATTTGCAAATGACAACAGGCTGTTAAGCAGCATTATTTCTAAAAGTTCAAACTGGAAACCACTTAAATGTGTATTTACAGTAGATAATCTATAAGGGAGAATCTACAAAATCTACAAAAATGAAAATGAATCATCTATGATTACATAAAATAGAATTCCACAAACATAAAGTTGAGCAAAAGATGCCAGCTCTAAAAGGGTACATTTTTTGCAATTCTATTTATGTAAAGTTTAGAAACTTAAAAAACCAATCTTTACATAAAGTTTGAATGCAGATAAAACCCATCTATGTGGTTCAAGTCAGAATACTAATCACTATTGCAGACTGGAGGCTAATTCCTGGAAATAAACACGAGATGTGCTCATGGTGTCATTGTGCTGCTTACTGCTCTAAATATTCCTATTTATAATTTCACTGGAATGAATGATTTATATAAGCATGTGCATGTGCCTTTCTGCAAATTTCTCCTTTAGTACAAAAAATGCAAGTCAAAAAAAAGCTATCTCTATCTTGGAAGGGTGGAATTTTAGATAATTTGCTCATTTTTTTTAGTCCAGTAAATCCATACCAATTAATTATTAGAACAGTGTCTGGCAGGTAGCCACTCAATAAATGCTGGGGTTTTTGTAAATATTTTCATTTTCTAAGTTGTCTTTACTGAACATTACCGAATTTTGCTTTTGAAGGCAAACAAACCATTTAATACTCGTTTTTATAAAGGCTCATACCCCTCATCCTTCCTCACAGCCAACTATACATAAAAGCCACAAATAGCATCATTCAGGCAAAGAAGTACAATTCTTTG